AAACCATTTCAGGTGACTACCTCTTGAAGCTCATGGAGAGAATGCCAAGAGTGTGCAAAGCAGTAATCAGAGCAAAGGGTGGCTATTTTGAAGAAACTAGAATATAAAACATGTTTTCAGTTATTTCACCTTTTTTTGTTAAGTACATAACTCCACATGTGTTCATTCATAGTTTTGATGCCTTCAGTGAGAATCTACAATGTAAATAGTCATGAAAATAAAGAAAACGCATTGAATGAGAAGGTGTGTCCAAACTTTTGGCCTGTACTGTACATCAAGGCTGGTAAAACCCAAACTCTTGAATCCAAAACTATATTGTAAATATAAATAACAGAGAACAACTAAAGCACATGGTAGCTGCAAGGAACCCATGTCGATATATTTGCTGCTGTCCGTGATTCTGCTGTTTGAGTGACGTTTTCAGCGGTTTTAGTTTATTTTTTTCTTGAACCTTTTGTACTTACCTATCAGCACTAATCTCATGAATGTGTCTCGCAGGAAGGTGCTGTTGACGAGGTCCCAGAACAACTTGAAGTGGGTGAGGATGAAGTGAACCACTGCAGGACTCGGCTTAAGCATGAGACGAACTCTTGTCCAGAGCTCCGCTACACACAAAGATCAAGAATAAATAATTTGTAATATTAATATCACCTCTAATAAAGCACCCCTTGTAAGGGGGTTGTGACAAATGTAAATACATCATTTATTTTAAAGAGGAAAGTGAAATAAAGGTTGTTAATGTCTGGGTTTTATGACTGATGACTACCTCACTTTTAAGCCATGTGCAGAGAAAAAGCTGAGGCTATTCTTAAGACTTTAATATGCTTTCTGTGTCAATGCAGGGATTGGCATGGAGTGTGTTGCAGAATGACTTGAAACTAAAAGAGTTCTATTCTTTGAAATTCAGAATGACAGAATTTGAGATATATTCCTTAAGACGTCTATGTTTTTTTAAGCTACCTGGTTACGAAACTAAGTCTTTTAAAGTTCTCCTTTGAGTTGTGAGTTCCTTCTACTTTACTTCCTTTTTATTTTGTCCCATTTTGTGATATTTATCTGTGTAACTGTGTGTTTTTATTTATGCCTGTCTCAATGAGAATCTTCTGCTTAAACAAAGATTAAATCAAAATAGATGCAGATAAATTCTAAGCCATTAATGAGAAAAAACTTTTGTGTGGTCAGGTTACGAAACATCCCTTTGGCTGTTTCGTAACCTGACCCAGGCAAAGAGCATGGACACCAAGAGGCGAAGCTTAATAGAACGCCCCATAGCAACAGACTCGCCCATGGTTTCGTCCTACCGCCGCCATTTTGGACTGTCAGCAGACCGCAGCAGACCCGCTTGCATACAAAAACACACAGACAAACTGAAGTATATCGCTATTAATTATGCTTACAATGCTACTCACCTCGTGATAGCTTGGTCACAGCTGCTTTTCACGTTTTTGTAAAGCAAAATATAGACTTTAAAAAAAAAAAACGAAGAAAAACGGCTGAGATGGCATCTCTACATATTACATCCACTTATGAGAAGATTAACTTAATTACTCCTTCAAAATCACCCCATAAGCCAATCTACAAAAAAAATAAAAAAATAAAATAAAATAAA